GAGAGAGAGAGAGAGAGAGAGAGAGAGAGAGAGAGAGAGAGAGAGAGAGAGAGAGAGAGAGAGAGAGAGAGCTTTCGTTTTTTATGTTTTCCTCGTCGATCGCTGATTGGTTGTTTGTGTTTCAGTGGTGGAGCCACTGGCGGTATTCGGCATGGCGTATCTGTCATACCTACTGGCGGAGCTGTTCCATCTATCTGGTATCATAAGGTAAGAGCTGGGGGAGGAGGGCGGGAGAGAGGAATGGTGTGGATGGAAAGGGAGAGGGTGGATGGGAAGAATAGGGAGAGGGCGAGTGGGGAAGATTGTAAGGGGGGAAGCAGGGAGGGTTAGAAGCCTAGCGGAAGGGAGTGGGCGGAAGAGAGGGCGGATGGTGAGGGAGGAGGCTGAGGAGGAGATAAAAGGGAGGGGGAGAGGGGAGCAGTAGAGGAACAGTGGGAATACATATTTACCTTTCTCACAACCTCGGTACACCTTCACGCCTGCTATAATGGCGTTTCCCACGTCATTTCAATTTTACAGTTCTGCGATCCGCTTGCGCTGTACTAAGCCTATACTTACTACAAGCATGCCAAATTCACGTGCATTATCTGATAAAAGCACGAAATATGGAGGCCGCCAGAGAAATCACATTATCGAAATAAATAAATCGAGCTATGCTCAGCCGTGGGAGGCTGAGGGGGGATGCGGATGCAGGGAGGCTGTAGGGAGGATGATGATGCATGGATGCTGTAGGGAAACTCTAGGGAGGATGAGAAGGCTGGGAAGCCGTGGGAGGCTGAGGGAGGATGCGGACGCTGGGGGATGAGGATGCAGGGAGGCTGTAGGGAGGATGCTGGGAAGCTCTATGAAGGATGAGGATGCATGGATGCTGTATGGAAGCTGTAGGGAGGATGAGGATGCATGGATGCTGTATGGAAGCTGTAGGGAGGATGAGAAGACTGGGAAGCCGTGGGAGGCTGAGGGAGGATGCGGACGCTGGGGGATGAGGATGCAGGAGGATAACGATGCTGGGAAGCTCTAGGGAGGATGCAGGGATGCTGTAGGGAAGCTCTAGGGAGGATGAGGATGCAGGGATGCTGTAGGGAAGATGCAGGAGGATAAGGATGTTGTGAAGCTGTAGGGAGGATGAGGATGCAGGGATGCTGTAGGGAGGATATGGGAGGATAAGGATGCCGGGAGGCTCTAGGGAGGATGAGGATGCTGATAGTCTGCAGGGAAACTGCAGAGATGATGCGGAGGAGGTGAAGCCATTATGTACACATCTCTTTTTCTTTTCGTCTAGCATAATAATGTGCGGCCTGGTACAAGCTCAGTACGTGGAACACAACATTTCGTCCAAGTCCCACACAACCATCAAGTACTTTGGAAAAATGCTCAGGTGAGAAACGCTAGCGTAGTTTTTTGTATTTTTTTTACAAATGCCAGAACGCGACAATCTTATTGATGATGCGATGTGATGATAACAGAAAAATATCGGGTTTTCGCTGTTTTATGTCGTGCGGCGTGTGTAGTGTGCGTGCGTGCGTTCACATGTGTGTGTGTGTGTGTGTGTGTGTGTGTGTGTGTGTGTGTGTGTGTGTGTGTGT